AAAACAGAGCAGAGTTTTTTCTAATCCCAGTATAATGCACAAGAGTTTGCTGTGCTGCAATTCATATCGTGCTGTATAGTGTTTTAAAGGTCAGTCAGTGATGACGGATTTATGACGTCACTTACAGAAGGTATAAAGAAGCTTTGTATTATGAAAGCATCAGTCCAACATGGCGTCTTTTAGTACTGTTATGGTCTTAATGTTGTTTTGCTGTAGTAGTTTGCAGTATGTGTCAAGTAGAAGAACCAGAAACAAGGTCAGTAGCAGGATGCACTACTTATTCATTATTTCGTAGCTGGTGTAAGAACTCCGTTTAGTATCAATCGTAACGATTTAAAATGAACATGGCCAGTCCTGATCATAATTCAGTATCACCTCCATTTGCTTTCTCAATCATTACATTACAGTTATTCTTCTCGTTATTTCGTCTACATTGAGTATTCAAAACAGTGGTACAATTGTAATTGTTATTTGTTAGTCATTGTGTTATTTACACCCCCTCCCTACTGCGCTATATTTGACAAATGTCCCTACCCCTCCCCACTTGGTTGATTATTTTTTCAAGATTAATACTCTCTACTCCGTCTCTGTTTTCTTGCAGCGTAACGTTGATTCGTCGATTAACAGTGTGCTTCAGTCATTTTTGAGGAGAATCGATGAAATGAAAGCATTGGTTAGAAAACAGAACAATATGATTAACGAACAACAACGGACCATTAARAGATTAGGATGGACTCTTAGAAGAAAGGTATGTAATACTCCGATTTCGAGTTCTGGTTTGCTCTGTGTTAGCCTCAAAACCAAGCAACATATTCTTTTGTTTCATTGATAGCCCGAGAAAACGCATGGAATTTGAAAAGAAAGACAGTGGAATTGATTTGAAATCTCACACTTTTATTCTCACAATTAGGAATGTTTTGCGCACAAATGAGGCTAACACAGAGCATTGGAGAATTCGAAACTGGATTATTGCGATAAGACGTACATACAGAGATTTTAGTTTCGTCGTCTGCGGCGAAAGTTAGATTTAGCTTCAATAAATCAATCAGGCAATCAATCACTTTATCGACAACATCTCGATCAATCAATGTCAGACAAATTGATCCAAGTTAAGATCAATTAATCCACCCACCCACCATCAACCAGTCTACCAGTCATATCATTAATCCAGTCCTGAGATGATAACACAAAGGAGCTTCTGTAATGATTGTGCAGATGACAGAAATAATGGTAATGTTGGGTTCAACATAGGGTGACCAAGAACGACTAGATGAAATAGACAGAGATCTCAAACACCAGTACGTTCTCCTCCAACATGACGCAAAATTACAACCACTGACAGCTTTCAAGAACAWTGTCGATAAATCAGCCAAAAAACTACAGGTAACTTTCATTTTATCTCAACTTTTCTTTTTCTACTTTCTCTTTCATCCTGCCCATCCTATAGTTCTCATTTTATTTTGTCCTATCCTACCCTGATCTTACTATTGTTGTTGCACTAGTATCCTGAGTCATAATCGATGCTTTTCTTCTTTATTCTTGTAGAGTGTTACCGAGTCAATTAAAATCCGTTCAAAGATCGCCAATGACTTGTACGATCGCCTCGTTATGAGAGACAGAAGAATCGATTGTAAAACCTTTTACACCAGTTGGAAGAAGCAGGCAGGAGACAAGATTGGTTCTCTTAGTAAACACTTCTTAGAATGTCCAAACAAAGAGTTTTTACAGAGTTTTTTGTTCCAGAGAAAAGATGGTGGTCCTGATTCAGAAGTACGGTATAAATATCGTTGTTGTCGATACAACATTAAAGATAAATGGGTCCCTCGTCCCAGGAATAACGAATAATATACACACAGAATTGCGACGTCCTCTGCTTCGTTTCTACGTCTCCTGTATTGCGATATCATAATTGTATAACTAAGTAATATTGGCAACAGCCGAGACGTCCAACATGGAAATCATTAAGAATGTTTGATTGTATAACAGACTTTTTGTCATATTTTCGTATGTTAATATATACTAGGGGTACAACCTATATTTTTTGTATGCAAAARATAATTAAAGTTTTATTTAGTTAACTAGTCTCGATATGTTGTCATATGTGGTGAAATAATTGTCAAGGGGTGAAATAAATGCCGCGATTTWCTCTACGTCAAACTAAGTAAGCAATGTCCAARAGGAATTACGTCACCAAAGACTTAAAAAAGATAGTCATTAAAATTCAAAGAGATGAAGTAGCCTTCTTGTGCTAACAACAATGCCTCGCCTTGTTGGCCACGTYTCGTGCTTGCAGACTTTCCCAGTGAAGTCTTGTAAAGGAATCAAACTTAACAGCGCTTGGTGCTACTATGAAGGGTTGGAACACGACAGGTAAGGCATCATGTCATTGCATTTCTGACTGGTTTGTGGTAAAAAAGACATCTCGGCGTAGTGATACCGCCAAGCATTACGTAATTTAACCGGTGGAGTTGAGCGTGCTCCAAGCTTATGGAGCCTCACTTAAAATGTACATTCATAATATATTGATACATGATTGTTTGATAACTTGCTAAAGTTAACGCTCATTCAAGTTTCGCAAAGTTTTATCTTGACGTAGCATTTGATTTTAAATTGTCGACAGTCTGGACGGCGCGCGCCCGGCAAAAGTTATTTATATACGCGAGAGCTACATTTCTCCATCGCAAAGACGATTATGACAAGTTTTAAATACTTAATTATTGGGCTATATGACAAGCTAAGAAGGTTTACCRATGTTTTTTTCTCATTTTTTGCCTATCTTAGTTTTTGCATAATCTATGCAAATATCGGACACGTCAAGCTCAGCATCGCACGTCACGCTAGATGTCACACGTCACGCAATAAATTTTATTTTATTTCACTTAGGCGCTGGGCTGTTGTTGGAGATGAAACTGGTCAGTGCCTGAGTATGAAAGATTACCCAAAGATGTGTCTAGTGGAACCTGAGTTRCAAGATGATTGTCTACGYCTTAATGCACCTGACATGGAACCACTAACAATCATGTTACCTCTACAGGCACAAGAAATCAAGGATGTAAGGTATGATCAAATTGCTCATGTGCGCAATGGTCATGGTCATGGTGTGACTTAAGGTAACTCTTCAGTGTTGTTCATGTTGTGGTTGTAGGGTTGGTAAGGCCGGTACGTCTGGCAAGGGTCAGTCAGCTGGTCCTGAAGCAGCAACATGGATATCAAAGTACTTGGATACCAAATGTTCCATTTATCAGCTTACAGATCCACGCTACCTTAAAGGACACAAGTATGGAGCTTTGGCAAAGGATCATGACAAGGTAGCAAATAGACAAACAGACAGACAGACAGACAAACAGACAGACAGACAGACAGACAGACAGACAAATAGCATGAGAGAAAGACCATAGTGATTTGTAATGATGCTGATGACACATTCAATATACAGTCAACTCTCGCCTTACGGACACCCCGCTACAACGGACACCTTGATATTGCGGACAGTAAAATACCGAATGCCCGGCGAAAAATACAAAGAAATGACTTAAAGTAAATCTCGTTTGTCCGTAATAGGGAGAGTTGACTGTAAAATATAGTCCCCAGTAATGTCCCATTCTACAGTCCCCGACTTTCTCTAACTTGTTTTGAAATGGCAATATTTTTTTTCAGACTGGTTTTGCTTCCTTTGCTCCAGTCCTGTTGTGTACCACAGAAGCACTCAATGAAGTAAACAAGAATACAACAGAACCCTTCAGCATGGATCGCTTTAGACCCACTATCATCATATCAGACACAACACTTTATGATGAAGTAAGATATTCTCACAACATCAGTTCTTACAGTTGATTGCGATGATTATAATGGCAGATTACTGTTAACAATCAAGACATAGCCATAGTCCATTTCATCCTTAAAGCAATTCTGCATTTTACAGGATAACTGGAAAAGTCTTTATATTGGTGATAAAAGTGTACAGCTGCGTTTTCTGAGAAGATGTGGAAGGTCAGTTCTTGAGCTCAAGAAAGAAATATTCAGAACATTAATCCCTTCTCTGTTCACTCAATGTGGTTTTATCTCGTTTTTCTTTGTCCTTCCGTCATTCTCATATTCGTTCCCCCTATGTCAAATGTAGACCATAGCGCTAAAACAGAATGTTTTATATGAAAAAAGGATGTAATATTTATAATATACCTTGTTCTGATAGGTGCGCAATGGTCAGAATTGACCCGGATTCTGCTGTAAAAACGCAGGAAGAACCCTTCAAAATTCTTGAAAAGTAAGTATTAAAGATATATAAGAAGAGCATGCGCAATTGAAAAATTAAAGTAATAGTACTAAACCATGTGGGGGTATATAATGTCGCTGAAACCTTTTAGTTCCAAGCTTATCGAAAAGAAGTTTTTTATATCAACGCTTCAAATTAGACTCCGTTGTCATTGCCCGCATAGCAATTTCTTGGCGCGAAATTAAAAGAAAGAGGCATAGTTTAAAGCCCGGTTTAKTATTTTAGTGTTATACCTACCATAACTTTGCTTTCTATTCACAGGACCCGTCTGCCATTACCAGAAAACAGAAAACGAGAAGGCTATTCGCCGATCTTTGGTGTGTATTTTGCAGTTGAGAAAGAAGGATCCATTCGTGTTGGTGACCCTGTMTATGAATGCTCAGAATAGTTGACATTGAGATTATTATTATGTAATGTGTATTTAGATMATCAATAAAAGCAATTTTTCAAAGTATTGTGTGTTTTTTTATTTTATTTTGGGTTTGTATTTCACGGGAAATTAGAAGAGATCAACGCTGTAAGTGTGCTGATAAGTGTACAAGTGTTTTAATGTATCATTGCATACCGATATAAAAGTGAGTTTTGAGAAAGATAAATAACAAAGCAGTCAATTATTATTTATTGAAATTTCGACTCGATCATCTCTCAGTAGCTTTGCAACAC